AAATGACAATTAATTGCAAAAATTGTCATAAGAAAACTGTGTAAAAAGTGTACTCTGTCTGCTTATGTGCATGTTTATGTGTGTATATGCATATACATCACCCTATTTTGGGCCTTCCATATCAATACTATGTCCAGTGAAACTTTATAAATGCTAAGCAATATATAATCACCTCGTAGGGACTCTTACAAGCCAGTGGGACTTCGCACAACACTTAGGCTGCTCTAATTTAGTCAGAAGGCTGAGTGATCTCTGCCTCCTGTAGGTACAAAGAGCCAGCTGAGGACAGCTGAGGATTTCACCTATAGCGTTTTGTACACCAGCGTGTTAGAAAAATATATTTTTACTATTTTTGATTTCTGTAATGCCGTTCTCCCATTACAGACATTGTGATTGGCAATCTGTAACATATGAGTCAGAAAGGACAATGTTGATATAATTAGCATGCTAAAATGACTATGACAGTGTGCTATTTGAGCAGTGAGAATGACATTCAAACAATTATTTTTCCTTCTGCATTTATAATGGAAATACCTATAATGCAAGGTGAAAAAATGTACCACCATAACTGAAGAGGCACACCTCAAGTGGAAAATGAACAACAGCTTTCAGAGCCTCAAGAAAAACAAGTGATGGCTGAGAAGCAGAAGGGCTATCATTGCTTACATTAGTGAGGTTTTTCATGTCACTAGAAGAAACTGCTTCAAAATCTCCCCTCACCCATCTCCTTGGAATGTGCTTAGCTGGGGTTGCAGCCCTGTTATGAGTGAATAAACATAGGCTTATTAATTGCTTTCACCATATCATTTATTTACCAGGCTGTTCAAGGTTGGCCATAGATAAGTGACTTTCCACTGTGAAACTGCCGCAGCAAGGTGCTATTTATTTTCTGCATTATATTGTGAGTTTTTTTATTGTGCCACTCAATTAACATATTACTGTTATTTGGCTATGACCAATTTTAATAACTTAATGGCCATTCCTATACTGTGGCTAATCATCAGGATGCCATCTGAAGAGCAGCCAGAATATATTATAAATGACTGGAATCAAGGAATCCAGATTTTAAATATTTTCTGATGTACTGAATAAAAAGAGGATCCCTTAAAAGGGCTGTATAAAGTGAATAAACTAAATTCTGCACTATTGGCCTTGCTTATAATCTCATTGCTAACGGAGAAAATCAAAAGTAACTCTGTCAAAACTAGTCAAGTTCATAAATAAGGGCTAGGTCCAATGAAGGACTCAGACAGACGGGCACCAACAACTTAGATATTGCAATGCCTAACTTCCAAGCATCCAGCCTACAAAGTGGAATCTAAAAGGAGTGAGGGCATAAACAGATGCCTGAGGTGTGCAGGATCAGGGCTCTGAAGTTCTGGGAATGCCTACCCGGGCAGCCAGAGAGTGTGGGCAGCACTGGGCTGCCTGCACTCTCACAACTTAAAGGAAATAGATGTCCACCACAAAATAGTGGCACAAATTCATACCACCTTTGTTGTCACCACAATTATTGGACATTTATGGCACTACAAGGGGCACTTCTGTTTGCCTGGCCTTTGGGCTGCCATGAAAATGTTGATGGCAGCCCAAAAATGATGTCCGTTTCCAACTTCAGCAGGGTGATCCTATAAATCTGCCTGCTAAATGGGGACTTGCTTAGAGCTAGGTAATTGGCCTGTGTGAAGCAGCAAGTATTCACTTCAGTTTTGGCCAATTTGGATTCAGGTAATATTTTTAAAGTTTTTTACCCACCCTTCCTCTCCCCTTTAGTTTTAAGCTATTTCAGGCCAAATCACAGTTTTCTGAGGCTTTGGGGGAAATGCTCAATTTCAGGCTTTCCCCTGAAATCCTGTGTAGCCTGTGGTCCCTACTTATGAGGAGAGGCTGAGGAAATTGAGCTTATTTAGTCTGGGGAAGACAAGACTGATAGGGGATTTATTAGCAGCCTTCAACTACTTGAAGGGTGGTTCCAAAGAGGATGGAGCTAGACTGTTTTCAGAGGCGGTAGATGACAGAACAAGGTGCAATGATCTCAAGTTGCTGCAGGGGAAGTTTAGGTTAGATATTAGGGGAAAACTTTCTCACTAGCAGGGTAGTAAAGCACTGGAACAGGTTACTGAGAGAAGTTGTGTGATCCTGGAGGATTAAAAGATCCAGGTAGGCAAAGCCTTGGCTATGATGAGCAGGGGTTGGAGTAGATGACCTCCTGAGGTGCCTTCCAACCCTGGTTTTCTATGAGCCTGTGATTCTGTATATAGATTCCAATAAGCTTTTGCTTTATTTGAAGGAAAGGAAATCTTGTGTCCTTGGTCAGAGAAAGAAAGCTGGAAGAGAAGTACAGATAATGAAGTTTGAGTGAGAAGGAGTGGGTTAAGACAGTTTATAAGGCATTGTAGTTGGGTGGAATTCATAGATTCATAGCTTGTTAGGGGCTGGTAGGGACCTTGCAAGATCATCGCACCCAGCCCCCCTGCACTAGGCAGGAAAGACAACTGGAAGGCAAGGGGATCAACGTACAGCTCTGAAAGATGCAAGTAGACTAACCCAATGAAGGTTTGCTTCCTTATCTCTCTATTGGGAGCTGGCTGACATAGTGCAGAAACCATAGTAGAGGCTTATATAAGCTATCACTCAGGCTGGGCATGGATAAATGGGTGAGAGAAACAAGCTGCTTGGGCCTTATGCCCCAAACTACTGTAATCTAGCCAGGCATGGGGAAAGATATTGAGTTTGATACTTCTGGACTCTGCCTAGGCTACCAAGTTGGTGAAGTACTGCATATCCCATTCCTTCAAGGTCCTCCCATGATAGTTAAAATAGATGCAGTCACTAAGACAGCTGGCTGCCATCAAAGGCAGGGCACTAGATACAAGAAGATGGAAATGTTTTTCAATCTCACAAAAATGTTTAATTTCCAAAAATGTCCTCTTCTGAATCAGAATAAATCCAGGACTTTAAGTTTTTCATAAATAAATAAGTACCTGTTAAAGTAAGCCACTTACCATCTCCTAAGAAAACAGGAGACAATGCTCAAGTTCCTGCTCTGTTTAGTTTAGACTGAGGAATTGAGCTTCACTGTCTTTGTCAATTGCATTGGCTACCCAGTTCTTTGCTTGTCTGGTATAGACTAAAATGTTCAACCTGGACCCTTGAATCTTTTCTTGAAAAGTGTTTCAGTTTCAACAAATTAGTAATTTCAGACAAATAAAGGCACTTTTTCAAAAAAGCCTTGACCAGTTCTACTGGGACATGTCTAGGCTCAATCAGAACCTTAACATGAAATAATTAGAAAAAGTATTTCTTTGTCTTTTTTTCATTTTGAGCAATGAAAAAGAGATATATTGTTTTCCATTTAGCTTGTACTCACTTCTAGTAAATCTCACTTTCAGGTTGTCATACATTAGCACAGAGCCACAAGATTTACAAATCTTATACTGCAGGGATTTCCACTGAACTTTTTTCCCATAAATACTGTAATAAAAACACTTCCGTTGTTCTTAGGTTTTGTGAAATGTTTGTGATTGTTAATCTGAAACCTAAATATGGGCCAAATTTGCCTTGGCAGTAATTTCCCTTCCAAATGACCGTTAAATAGGCTGGTAATATAAAATCTCAGTAGAAAAATTCTAGTCAAGTCCCAGTACTAATTGAACACATTGGGCTCCTATACACATACAGGGAGACTGCTCTAATGTGCTGTAATTCCAGTGCAAATGTGGAAATTAACACATTCCATCAGCCTTCAGCATCACATGTATCAGCATCCCCATGCTAAAAAATGGTGGTGGGGTGCTTTAAACTAAAGCTCATTCAATGAACTTTTGTTCAAAGTGCCCTGCTGCCATTTTTCAGTGTGGAGACGCTGATACACATGACACGCTGGGCGATTTTAATTAGTGTGGTTCTCAGAACTGCGCTAATTAAAATGACACCCCCCCCAAATGTGTATAAGCGCCCATTAAAACTATGGGTTCTGTTAAATGATCTTTGAGTTGCTATATAGATACCTATATTATGCACGCTTGGTATTCAAGCAAAATTCCCTGCCACAGGAAACATTTCCTTGTAAACTGTGAAGTCTTTTCAAACTGAATTGCATTCACCTGAAAAGCTAAATTTTCGAGGCAGTACCACATTCTTTGCTGTTTAGTAGATACACCATCAGTAGTCCAAACTAACTCTTTTCTTCAGGATGCTTATTATCTCAAATTATTTGTACAGATATTTTTCTCCTATTTTATTGAATCAAGTAGTAATTACAAGAACTACTAGGAACTACAGACTTGTATTTGTTCACAGAGCAGAAGCTACACGGGCAGCAGCAATGCAAGCATCCTTGCAGGTACACTAATATGCCTAAACCCTTTCAGAAGTATAGATGTGATAGGTTATTCTAAGTATGGTTGATAATTGAAAATATATATGTAGGGAATATAACTGAGAACACTAAACTCACTTTACTTTTGCTCTCACTTTTGCTCTGGTTGAATTTAGGTAACTAAGTATAATCCTATTCCACCCTATTTTAGTCCCTAAAATACCATTAATGCATCTGTTTTTGTAAAATACTGTCATCTTAACCATAAAATTATCACAAAACAGAAGTAATAGACAGAAGGGGGATGATACTTTTTCTGTCAACAGCTTTGTAAGGACTGAAGGAGGATGGACTAGGATCCCACTTAGTTGTGTAAACCCATCTAAGTAACCTGAAGTTAGTCATTTTTGTTCAAGTTACTTAAAGGCATTTGGACATATTACTGGAAAATGCCTACTAAAATATTGCATTAGCTATATAGGTATTTTGTAACCCACAGCAACTTAGTTGCTCCCACCTGTGTTACAAGCTTGCTATACTGGATGCTGCTGTTTATCCCAGACAGCAAATATCAACCCTCCTGAGCAAGATATTTCTTCATTTATGTTTGTACAGTGTGTTCTTCATCCTGACAGAGCCAGATCCAAGCTGCAGCCTCTTCAGCTGGTTAAATCTGACAGTAAGAGGAGCCAAAAGCTGTAAGAAAACAACATGTCTTGCAGTAATGAGGGTCCAAGAACTAGTAGAACCAGGACAACAGCAGATGAGCTGATTGAACCATTCTACAAACTGGACTCCCTTGAGGGTTAATTTTCTCTCAACCCAACCACTCTTACTGGTAGGTAGGGTACAAATTGCATGTAAATCCTTCCACACATATGCATAAAGCTTCAAATGTTCTTACATAATTAAAAGAGAATAATATCACTGCCATAATACACTAAAATGTAGTTGAAAAACCATAAATACATATTTGTATCCACTATGGTTTAACACACATCCCCCCACTCTTGGGGGACCACTGTCCTTCACTCTCCTCTATAACAATAAAGAAGACATTATTCTAATGCACTTCTCTTACCAGGTAGCAAAGTATTGGACATGATATAAGAACCTGAATGGAGTAAATTATGTTAGAAACAAGAATGATATAGAAAAGAACATTTTAAAATAATGATAGACTAAGAAAAACACCATGATTTAAATTGTTTTGCTCATAGGTTATTAAAAAAAAATTTAGGGCATCAAAAATGTCTATATTCTTTACTGTTACTGGTGAAAATAATCCATTGAAAACAGTTTTTAAAAAATCATCCCTGTATCATGTTTGTGAGCCAGACCTGGAAGCACTCCCAACACAAAATTGACCATAAACAAAACTGAAGTTAAAGTCATAGCTTTTCATGACCAGACCCTATACCATAGTAGGGACTGAAGTATTGTACTGTTCTACCTACCCCAAGTTCTCAAAAAATATGAATCATGGTAGCTTTGTAGCAAAACATCATCTTTGCCTTAAGACTAAGGGCTCCTACAGATGTGCAGTCAGCCTGCTCCAACACGCTGGAAGTCCAGTGCATTGGAGCAGACTTGCTTAACTGAGGCTGTTGAAGCATGGAAATCAATGCAGTCTGGCAGCCTTTCACAACATGTGTATCAGCATCCCCATGCATCCTCATGCTGAAAAAATGGTGGTGGGTGCTTTAAAATAAAGTACGTTCGATGAGCTTTCATGCAAAGCACCCCATCACCACTTTTTCAGTGCAGGGACACTGATACATGTAATCCTGTCCCAGAGCACATGTAAAAATGCCCTAAGGCTGTGTACACACATTCAGATAATCTGTGAGAATTCTCCCACGTTTGTTCTCCTAGTAGAGAAACTTAGTCAGAACCACATGTACAGAAATTTTAATGATAAGGTTTAGAAGTATGGAGAGCTTGCAGTTGACACTGTGCAGCTAAGGCTGGGATCCTGTGCACACATCTCAGCAAGCACCAAAGGCTACCCTTAGTTTGCCTGGTGGCAGATGGTAGCAGTGCATAGGGCAGATCTGATTGGCTGACCCAGACTGCCCATGGTCAGCCTGTGTTTCTATGCAGCACAATGTGGGGATTGTGCAGGGAGTGTGTTCCACTCCCTGCCGGTGCAGCAGAGTCCAGCAAGCCACATTTTTTTCTCCTTTGTGGCGGGGGGCATACGGGGGAGATGGGGAAGGGATGCTGAAGGACTGTTTCTCTTCTGAGACATTTGCTCTCCCAAGAGAACCTCTTGGGCAGTGGCAATGTGTAGGGGGTGCACAGGGGTGCCCATGCACCCCCTGAGAGCACTGGTCCACCCCCTGACAGCCAGCGTTCCCCACTTAGGTGATGCGCAGTGGGGGCAGACAGGAATGCTGGTGCCCTCCTCCTCACCTGAGAGCACCATCCAGAGAGTGGAGGCACCAGGAGAAGTGCTGCTGGCACTTCCAGGCATGCCTCCAGTACTTCCAAGTCAGCACGATCAGCCATGGGGGGAACCCCCCAACCCAATCACTGACTAGCCACTGGGGGGGCAAGTGCCCCCTCTGAATCAGAAGGCACCAGTCACCCATTTCCTGGGAATGATTTAATTTGGGTTGTTCCTAGGTTATTTTTCTTCCAGAGTGACATTTTTTACCCTGAGATAAAAAGCCTGAACATCTGAATACTTATGGTTTCTCCTGGGAGATCAGCAACTCCCCCAGAAGAAAATGAATCCCTCAGCAGACCTTAGTCACAAAACGTAATGAGCAGGAAGAGAATCTTTTGAATAATTTGTTTTTAGAGACTTCAGAAGGAAAGAATGCATTTATACTTGGGTGCCTAATAGCTGGAATAGGATCTGGACCTCCTTGTCCAACATGAGAAAAAGTAAAAGCAAGTGCAGAAATAATCCAAACTAAATTCAGTTTTAAAGATCCTTTATGTTTTAATGATTTAGACTCTTACAAACAACATTGGAAAACACGTGTTTATTTACAATGCATTAAGTAAAGCAGAATGCCAAGCGAGTGCTACATATTTGGACAGATCTGCTCAGTAGTTTCTGTCTGAGTCACTGCGTGCCTTTTCTCCCTGGATTTTTTCCAGAAGTTTAAAGGCAGATTAGCTATCTCAAAATACTTGTACAATATTTTCCTATCAGAAGTTACTTTCAGCATTGCTTTGATTCTCTCACACAGGGTGGCTAGATGGTGACAGGTTTTTGTACTCACTTTGTGTTAAAAGGGTTGAGATATGGGAGAAATGAAAAGATTTTGTTTCTAATACATCAAACTATCCATTTGCTTCACTGAATTCACTGCTCTGTCTCGCTTGCTTTTCCCTGCCAGTCTGACAGTAATAGTCACTCCATTGCCTTCTGCACCTGCTGGTTGTCACAATGGAATACAGTAGCACCTCTCATTAGAATCACTGTCTTTGTCCATGTCCAGCAGTTGGAAATGTAGTCTTCCTGCATCTATATCTTTCACACATGTAGATATATATGAGCACACACACATAGACATGCACACATACTGATATTTATACCTTCTTCCTCTGCTAAGATTTCTTGGACCCTGACTTACTGCTCTCACTTCATCCTGAGTTTTCTAGGGTCTTTCCTATGTAAGAGGAGTCCCTTGTGGTTCAGTGGTAGAATCCTTGCTTACTACACAAAAGACCTGGGTTCAATTCCATTCCTGGATATTCATACAGTTACAGCCATGGAGGCACCAAACATCTGGATTCAGTCTAGTCTTTGGATTCTGTCTCAGTGGCCTAAAGGGAGAATAGGAAGTCTGGGCAGCCTCCACTCCTCCAAATTTTTTTGCCTAGGCATATGCATTGAAGGTCTGGGTGGCCCTCATGTGTGCACTATGATCCAAGAAGATTGATAGTTGCCACTTCCTATGTAAGAGGGCTTTAATCACAAATGCAATATATTCTTGTTTCTCTTCTGATTCTTCATATATGGCTACATGTGATTCCAGGGATTTAATCCTGAAATAAATTAGAGTTAGTACACCTACATGTTCATTAATGTACTTTTGCTAATGCATATTAAATGTAGTACTTCCATTGTGAGGTACTAGAAAAAGGTGCATTAGCATATTTTAATGTACGTTACTGAAAGCGCATGGTTTTTTGTGATGCTTTAATGCACGTTAAAATAGGCTAATATGCATTAAAGTTGATGTGTAGATGCACCCAGTTTTGCCATTTTACCACCAGTACATTACTAGTGATTTTACCACCTGTTCAGCTGCCCCAGAAGTGTTTGTACTGTAGCCTTTAAAAAGAAATAGATATTTTTTACTATTGTCAAAATAAAGAAGTCATTGATTGCATCTTGATTAACTTGTTTAGCTTCTATTACAGACTTACTGCTACCAAGAAAGCCTGGGCAGATGTATTTAAAAGGATTTGGGGAGGCTGAAGTATATGCCCATGATCTGAATATTTGCAATTATTTTGGTTTCTATTTCACTGTTAGGTAAGATTTGCCTGAAGACTCGATAAAACAAAATAATAATAAATCTTCCTTCCCAGAAGTGTTGTGCTTGAGGCTTAGCTAATGTTTGTAAAATGCTTTAACATCCTTTATGAAAAGTCACTTTAGAAGTGCAAAGCTTTCTTATTACTAAATTGGGCAGTATATTTTTTCTAGGACTCTAAAAGGAGTGCTTTATATAACATATAAATAGTATTATTACCAGGATACAGATCTAGAAACTGAGGCACAGGGTAAATGAGACTACCCTAAGACCAAAAACTGAATTGAATGCAGAGATAAGAATATAAACCTAATCTCTTGTCACCTCACCCTCTGCCTTGAGTAGCTCAACATGTGGTTTAGCAGAATGAAGAGATTTTCAAATACCATTATTTGACTTTGCTCTGTTTATGAGATTTTATGGGTTATGATTCTAACATGACTTTCAATTATTGTATTGCAGGAAATTTCCTGTGGAGATTTAACCACTATTTTGCTTGTAGTCTGCAGCTGTCTAATAATACAGACTAGATCCAAAGGGGACTTCAAGCACCTAAACACAGAATGTTTTCAGTGCACTTAGCTCTGTGGTCTAATCCAGAAAACCCCTATTATAGACTCTATATAGACTCAATGGGGAGAGTTAGGTGCCCCAAAATAGGGTCTATAAGGACCAGCATGCTGAAAGGGGACATCTAGAGCTAGGTGTTAGGGAAATGATCAGCACAAGATATTGTCTTCATCCTCCCATTTTCCTCATTTAACATACTGAGAGGTGTGCCTCTCCACTCGGGATTCGCAGCATTGTACCATATTTTGCAGGTAGATGCCTATGTCCTTTCATTTAAAAAAAGGAAGCAATACATTATTCCTTTCTTTTGATGGGGAGGACAAAGTGGTGGATAAATCACTTATGTTGTGGGAGACTCAGGTTCAACTTCTTCATTCTGAGGATTCAGATTCACATCTTCCACTTCCCTGAAGAGTCCCATAACCACCAGGCTGTGTTCTGTTCTGTAGGGAGTGAGTCACTCTCCACGCTTCCTCCTGGAACTGGTCCTTAGTACAGAAAATAATTAAAGATATATTGTTCAAGTGACAGAGAACAGGGCTAACTTAGATGTTAGGGCATTCATCAAGGTCTAGTCCCTGCTCAAATGATTGTTTATGCATTTCCAGTTATTAGCTAGAAAGAAGAGTATGGAGTTGAACATGGGACTCCATGCATCCAGGAAATGACTCAGTTCCCAGTCTGATGTCATGTTTCCTTTTTGCCATTCTTTGGCCTCTGACAAACATTCAAGTAAAAGCATGATGCGGCGTAAGCAACTGGTAGGGGGCGCACGGGGATGCATTTTCCTCCCCCCCAATGGGGCTGGTTCCCCCACTGATGGCCAACGCTGATACAGTCGGCAGGACTGGTACCCCCCCAACAAAGTCAGCAGCTTCTGTGGGTGTCCCCCCCACAAGGTTCAGGAGGCACCAGTCACTCATGTATCAGATGCGGCATCTCCACATCTGGTGCAGCATCTCCACAATCGTGCTTCCTGCCATGCCATGTGCATGGTAGGGGGCACGATTGAGGGATCCAGCATCAGATCCCATCACGCCTTATTGTGTGTGCAGGGGGAACCCAGGCTCATGATCCTGGGCTCCACCTGCACCAGCAACTAGCATGCTCTCAAAGCTGGGAGCCCTGTTAGCTGCGGGGGCTCCTAGCCGTAGGAGCATATCCTGCATTCCTGTGGCTGAGAGCCCCTTAGCTGATTCAGGCTCCCAGCCAAGAGGGCATACCCCATGGCTTGGTGCCCCAGCCTGGCCATACATTCAATTAATGGCATGGAACCAGCCATAAAGTTATTATACCTTTTTGTGTAATAACTTTGTGGCTTATACCTTATTTTATTACACTAATTGCATTAATGTGTGGCTGGGTAACAACTTAAGACATGATTAACTGGTAAATCATATCTTAAGTGTAACATGCACCAGGGGCCTCTGAACCAATTAAGCTTGAACATTTAATTTGTCTCAAAGGCTAATAGCTTCAAAAGGCAGATAGGGAAGTACCTCCAGGCACACACACTAACCACAGCCAAGCATGTAAATTGGTTGTTGGGGCATTTCCATGGCAGTTGAAGGCTATGGATTTGAATCTCCTCAGGCAGAGGTGGGAATTGAAATTGTCTTCCATCGTTTGAATGAGTGCTCTAATTTCTGAGCTATTATAAGAAGAAAGTCTCTTGTTGCCCAGTCCATAACAGGCATCAGCAGCCAATTCCTGCATGTTCCTATGGAGACTGATCAAGAAGGTAACAGCAGTCTTTTTCAGAGCACATCTATTGAAACAAGCCCCTCTAGGGTGATAGATAGGGAAATACCTGGTTCAGAGATCTCATTCACCCTTAGGCATGACTGAGGTGTCAAGCTGCTCAGCTCTGTGAAGAATGTGGCTTTTCTAGACATGTGCAGAAGCAGCATTTTAGTTGCCTGTGGAATATTAAGGTCAGGGCTGAGGCATCAAATTAAGGAGCTTAGATATCTCCAAGGCTAAGCAGCATCTGAGCAGGAATTTCAGGATCCTGATTTTGGACCTAGATGCCTACATTTCCTGAGCCCAACTTAGTTGCATAAATCCCTTTTCAGTCGCAGCCCTGAGTTTTCAGGTTTCAGGGTAATCCAGTAATCTCAGACATTGTTTTCCTGTTGTTGTCCTGGCAAATTACACGCACTTACCTTTGCTCATCGACATTAATAATAAAGTACAGAGACAACTTGTGAGGCAACTCTCTCCCTGCCTGCGCCCCTCCTCACATCCCTACCTACTGCTCTTTTTCATTACTCCCCCTAAAACAAAAGAATGAGGAATCACATAAAGATCACTGTCTCTGTTTTTCTTTTATCCCTCATGTCTTCATTTCTTTCTCTTACATTGTATACTTCCCTTAGTTGGCTTCTTTTAATGAGCTGTATTGTATGTCCTTTGACTTATATACATGTGATTGGGCAATGCCTCAAACTGTAGACATGAATGAGATCTTTTTTTCTCCACCCACCCCCACCACCTTATAAATACCTCTTACCTCTGAGTAAGCACAGTTGAGTTGTACTAGAGGACAGCATAGAATGTATACCTTATGATGGAGAAAAAAACTACTTAGAAAATTACATTTGCAAGGTATTGTAAGTATTTTTACATTTACCTACTAAGAAAGCAGTAAAGCAGTATAAATAATGCTTTTACTACATGGCAACTAGCATATCTATGCAAAGTATAATCAAAATTAAGTTTGAATGTTTTAAATGTATATTGCCAATATCACTAAGTTATCTAAACAGTCTGGAAAAAAGGCCAATAAAATAGGAAATACCTAGGCTTAAAATGGTATTTTTTATAACAAGTACTTAGAATAAGTTAAATCACTGTAATAACTATTGTCTTTTTTTCTCTTGTGCAATATATCGAACATAATACATGTGAAAAGCTTCCGTTTTATGACAAATTGAAAGTGTTTCTTAGAAACTTCACTAGGTTGGCAAATAAAGAGGGACAAGCAGAAGAAAAGGGGAAGAAAACAAAATTAAACAAAAAATTATTACTGTTCCAGTGTTTCTATTTAGAGCATGTATGTTGGTATAACTACTGTAGTATTCCCTTAATCTATTTTAGATTATTCCTTCAACTTTTATTTATATGCGTAAATGAATTTCCTGCTTGCTTGTTGAAGGAATTTTTCTTCTACATAAAACTTCTACACAGTAACTATCTTTTATTATGCTTTGATATTCCCCAGCTTGCTGTACTGGAAATTCAGACTCTTTTACCCTTCCTTTTATTATGCACACAAAGGGACACTTCAATAAATTACTGACAAATGGGTGTCAACTGAGTTTTCATTGTCCCTTTGGAGTATGTGGTTTGAGGCTGTTTTGCTGGCTTTACAGTATATAGGAGAATATTGAAGGATATTTGTTTTCAGTTTTAAATATGTTCTAGTTTCATTCCTGTGGTTTAGACGTCCTGTTTCTTTAGCTGCATTATTGTCTGTTTCTATTTGGTTATTTGTGTTCTTATACAATTGTACATGGTTCTGAATTTCTTTAATGCTGTGAATTGTTCTCTTGATTCAGTGCAAATGACTTTGCCTATACTTTCCCATGCAGGTATGAAAAGCTATTTGGATTGGCCTTTTGATTATTTTCTTTTTTATCGGGGAATTACTCAGACTTTGCTTATGTTAAGAGAGTCACTTATTAACACACGTTTTCACCACCAAGATAAGACTTTTCCTTTTATATTCCTGATTTCTACTCCTTTTCTATCATGTACCTACTCCTTGGTTTGTTTGGGTTTTTTGTGCTTGTTTTTTTTCATTTGGCACTATATCCATGTAAGTCACCTAGGAAACCCAGTTGCTGGTGCTCTATAGGGAAAATATTGATTGTATTTCTTAGAATTTTTCCTCTGTATGTGGACTTGTTGATGTGCTGTCCCAGGACACACTTTCATTATACACCACGTGCTTAGATTACATTTTTGTCAAATGGAAGATGAACAATAGCAATAGTAAATAATAGGAACAAAAGTTTGAATTGGTAGATCTCACTTGAAGATTTCATAATGATGAGTAATCAGCTCTATTATCCCCATTTTACAGAGAAAAAAGTTCAAGGTAGAATAGTAAAGTGATTCTCCCAGGACACAAAGTGGGTTAGTGGGAGAATCAGGAAACAATGCTAGATAAGCTTGCTTCCCTGAGCATGTTTGTGAAGAATATAAACCGGTATTAGAAAAGAAATGAATAAACTATAAATGTTCTTCGTTCTCTTTAGCCTATCTGGCCAGGTACAGCCATTACACTTTTACCAGTATGTGACTGGAAATTGGTACAGAACAGAACAGAAGTTCGACACACAAAACCAGTCTATACTGGTAACAAAACATAAGTTTGGCACACACAGACTGGTTTAAAAGCGGCAGAACTCATTCTAAGATTTGC